CATATGTACTTTCTAAGAGTATTTAGACATCACTGATAGACGGTGAAGGAAAACATCGTGAAGAAACCTGGACTTATAATTTCACAATTATAAGTTTGACATCACCAACCCGTCTTGAGCAAGCGTGGTGATTAATGCTCAAACCTTCTCCATGTGAGAAAAGGCCTTTGCTCAGCAGTGGGCACTGATAGGCTGATGACGATTTATATAGAAATTATAATATATTAAATTATTCATCATTTATCTAACAGGATTTCAACCTACGACAACAAGGATATTGCGTCCCAGTAACTTAAAATTATACTATTCGTATTATAATTATTAATTAATTATAAATTAATATCGTATAAAACCTTTTGCCTTGAAAGATTTTTTTTTTTAATCAATGAGAAGCAATCTCTTATTATTCCATGTATTCATTGTGCGTGTGTAGGGTCCATCGTTGTAGTGAGAGGACCTTCAACAGTGACTGGGACTTGCGACCCAGGTGTAGGTTTAAGGGGTCCCTATCTAACTAATATAAAAATTTAACTTTGAATATTTTAATTATAGATTTTTGTCTTCTTCTTCTTCTACCTGGCAACTTCCCAGCTTTAGCCAGGGTCTGCCTTACATGTTGTGAATAGTTTTGGCTAATTGTTTTTACGACCGGCCGTCTGCCTAACATCAACCCTCTTTGGGAATGCATAAATCAGTGATGTCTAAATACTGTTAGCAAGTACATACGACTCGGAAAAATCGTGAGATGAGCGCCCTTAACCACTAGGCCACCACTGACTTAATTATAGATTTTTGTATCATTTATTAAATGGGAAAATCCTTGTATTAAATAAACAGATACAATTCCTATGAATTTGTATAAAATTGTTATTTCCTCTTACTAATACTGTTATATATAAATATCTGTGTCAATTACATTTTAATTATTATTACAATTAATTAATAATAATATATTTATTAGGTCAAATAACCCAGTCGTATTTGTTTTGAATATTAATGGGAGATATTAGATTAGATCTTGAGACATATTATAGTAATACAATGAAGTAAAAGAATGATAACAATTTGTATTAAAATATTCTTAATATATATTGGAGTTGAGAATGAAGTATTCGAACCTGCTATTTGCGTAATGTTACGTCCCAGTTGCTTTTCCATCTAAGCCATTGTGTCCTTACTCGGGTAGCGCTATACAGAGTGTTCCATAATAAGTTTGATCTGAAAAAATTTATAAAATAACCATGTACAGTATGATTTTTTTGATTTGTTCTGTTTATTCTTGTATACATTTAAATTTCAAAGCACTTTTGGGACACGCTGTACTTAATGTGGTCATAATACTGTCAGAAAAAATAAAACAGTGTCCCATAAATCCTTTGAAATGAAAAATATTTATAAAATTACGACGTACAGTATAAAATTTTTACTTTTTCTTTTGTTCTATTAATTGTTCTTTTTTTTCTTCGAAGAATTTATGGGATAGTCTACTTAATCTTACCATAATTACTGTTGGGAAGAATTAAAATAATAGTTTTGTTATTTCTTTCCAAACTATTGTATTAATTATATTGTGTAATATTTTGTGCAGAAGTTTCCTTATTAGTCAACAGAGTACGTGGTCGTAAATTGACATTAGTTGTAATTCTTAAACATATTCTATGATTTTCACTCTTGTTTTTTGTTCATACCCCAAGCCCCATCATCACACTACAAACGCAGCTTTTCCCTTTTCTCTTTAATTATCCTTATTTAGTGGGTTTCTGCCTATTTAGTAAGTTTGTGCAAACTTGAGTTAAGCGTACTAAAGAAACTTTGCGTCGTAAATAAATAAAACAGAATATACTCCTTCTATTATAATAATAATAAACATATAAACCAGCTTTTGCCCCCGACTTTGTTAATTCAATTATTTTATATCATGTTTATAAAATTGACCAATACATACTTAACACATACATATATGAAGATTTAAACGTGATATATACATAATAATAATTTATTGTGTATAAAAGAATATATTTCTTTGTATATAGACTTAAATAGAATTTTTTCTATTATTAAATGAAAGTCGTTATTCCAAACGGCTATATACATATATACAAAACATTGTAATCGTATTATTGTATGTCCGTACGCACTAAATGTGCTATAGAAAGCAGTCGGCTATGACCTGGTTACTCCAGATGGCTATAAGGTCACTTTACAGACACAGCCGGCTTAGAATAGACACTTACAGCTGTACTATATGGTGGAAGTAATAGAATAATAATTTTTTACTATATATATAAGAAAGTCGTGTTAGTTACACTATTTATAACTCAAGAACAGCTGTATGGATATGGTTGAAAATTGGTGGAGAGATAGCTTAGAACCAGGAGACGGACATAGGATATTTAATTCTGTACGATTGAAAAGAATATTTAATAAATTCCAATATTTGGTTATTTATGGCCTCTAGGGCGGAATAGAGTTCGCCGGGTCAGATATACATAGGTACATGTATTGCTAATTCCGAAATTATCGCGGACGAAATCGCGGCTAAAAACTAGTCATTAGTAATCATTTGTCTACCAATGAGAGTCTCATCAAATATGTAGTTACAGCCTTTTTAGTATATACAGGGTGACTGGTGAATTACTATCAATATTTAAGGAGCATACTCGGTACATGATTCTCATTCGAATTATGTAAAAAAAATAGGTACTTAATTTTTGACAAAATTTCCGTATAAATAAATAAAGTGTGGATACGTTCCAAGTGTTCAAGTGTGGAGGCGTGCGGCGGCGTGCGGATACAACACTACGTCACGACACGCGTATGTGTGTGTGTGAGTGTATACCTAATCTGTAGGGTGTTCATACGATGCGTAATTAATTACACAACTTTTGGTTAACTTTACTTAGAAGTTTATTAATATTTATGTTATATTAATTTTTATTTTGTCATATATGATCGTCAAATATCACGTCCTCAAGTATCGATAGTAATTCACCAGTCACCCTGTATAGTTAAAAAACACAAAATAGTTAAAAATGTTATTTTGGTATCAATACCGCGTATACATATACAATTTATTAAAATACATTTGTATAGATAGTAAGTAAAAATATACAGAATTTAAGTTTTTTATTGATAAAGTCAAACTCAATGTAAATTCGGAATTAAATAACATTTATTAATAAACCGAAACATTCCTTTTTTGAAGTTGGTTGAAATATTTATCTTTTACTTTTATTAACAGTGCAATACAAAATACAGCTATGCTAGTTTTATTACAGTTACTATAGAATTACTATTTCTTTTGTTCTTATCTACCTGCCATACTTGATATATGTAGAATTGAATGTAGTACTATTAATTATTATGTATACAAGATCATAATTAATTGATTACTTCAACTACAATAATAGAATAGAAATGTCGTTATGTTTAACATACAGTTACACACACACATACATTGAAGGAACTTCACGTATTGATGTATGATGTACACATTATGTATGTATGTGTGTGTGGGTCGAATAAAATTAACTTATTATCTACATATATAAAAGAAAGTCGTGTTAGTGACTTCACTTATAACCCAAGAACGGCTGAACCGATTCAGCTGAAAATTGGCAGGGAGGTAGTTTAGAACCAGGAAATTGCAATAGGATACTTTTTATCCCGTTCGACACTATTCCCGTGGGACTTGACATGAAACGTCAGTCACTATAAAACGTGGAATAACACAATTGACAGCTATGCAATTGACGTATAATGACAGATATGTAATGACGTATGGATGTCAATTAGATATTTGTAAGAAATCTACTATATAAAAATAAAAGTATTTAGGTAATGTGTTTGTAGTTTGAACTCTTAAAACCATTTAGTATTTGCGGGATAAATTTAGAAAATCATTGTTTTTCACATGGGCAGTTATATTTTGTATGTTCTCGAGTTTGGAAACCATACGCTTTATTTGTGTTAAAGTTAAACCAAAAAACAAAAAATGTGGTTTACAAAGGAGCACTTCAATGAAACGGATAATTTGCGGACACGTATAACGCTTCGATTCGGTATCTACTTTGGATTCACTTTCATTTACTTAGAGTAGTTCAACTAAATAACACTTCATTTTTGTAATCGAAATGAATTCATTACTGTTGTGAAATGAAATAAAAATTTTCCTTTTCAAATATAAAACAAAAAATTCTTCATCTTTTAATCACCAAACGAAATGTTATATAAAAGCCTTCTGGTGGCGAAACGGAGTTCGCCAGGTTTACTAGTATATATATATATATATATATATATATATATATATATATAGTTAAGTTATATTATATAATAATATATTTTTACTTTTAAAATATGTTATCATGATAAACGAAATGAATTCTGTAAATATTGCGAGAACTTAAATCTAATTGTACGTATAATTGGTGTATTGTAAGCTTGTGGGAATTAGTTCAGTGGGTTGTGTGTTCAGTTAATTTGAACGAAGCTGCGGTATTATGTTAACATGCTATTTGGGTTATGTTTTCAGTATACATTCCTTAAAATGTAGTTTTACACAGAAAAATATTATATATATTAACTAAAAGACTTGGCCTGTCTAGAACTAATATCAATTCATTTTTGAAACGTACTTCGAAGGCAGACCTACTAGGTTCTTTTCAAATTTGGTAGAGAGAGGAGCTTGGACAGTGGAAGTGAGCGTTTAACGCGTTAGATAGAGGTCCCTTAAACCTACACCTGGGTCACAAGTCCCAGTCACTGTTGAAGCTCCTCTCCCTACAACGATGGACCCGGCACACGCACCGTGAATACATGGAATGATGAGGGGTTTCGTCTCTATATACGAAAAAATAATTTAAATACGAGTATTTTTGTCGCGAGATTCTACCATAATACTGCATACAATTAAGACTTGACAATCTCGTTCGGTAGTTTTTAATTTACCGCAAACATATAGTAATGATAATAAAATATACTTATATATAATATATTCACAGGTGTGGCACAAAGGCTGCTTCAAATGCCAGGAGTGTGGTATGACGCTCAACATGAGGACGTACAAGGGTTACGGGAAACTGCCGTACTGTGAGTCGTGAGTATACAAATAATATACTTATAATACACTAGCTTTCCGCCCGCAGCTTCGCCCGCGTGGAGTTCGGTTATATCGCGTGTCCAAGAGAACCTTTCAAAAGTCTGGGATAAAAACTATCCCATGTTCTTTCTCAAGGTCAACTCTATCTCTGTACCAAATTTCATTAAAATCAGTTCAGTGGTTTAGTCGTGAAAGCGTAACAGACAGACAGACAGACAGACTAGAGTTACTTTCGCATTTATAATATTAGTAGGAATAAATATACTGGAACGTCCTCGGACTAAGGTCTTAGTCATATATTTAGATTTTAAATGAAAATTATAACAGAATTAGAATTCTGAATATTCAAAATTTTCTTTAGTATATATACATAATATTTTTTTCATATCACAATTAGCCTAAAACTTTTCATATGTATATGAATGTATATAAGAAAGTCGTGTTAGTTACACTATTTATAACTCAAGGACGGCTGTAGGTATATGGTTGATTAGTGGGTAGATAGCTTAGAACAAGGAGACGGACATAGGATATTTAATTCTGTTCGATCGAAACAGAAAAAAAAAACAAAATTAATTCCAATATCTACCTACTTATTTACGGCTTCTAAGGCGAAATAGAGTTCGCACTTCGCCCGGTCAGCTATACATATATTACTAATTACGAAATTAACGCGGACGAAGTCGCGGGCAAAAACTAGTATACATATTTGTCTGAATCATGTATCTATACACAAACGATGTGTAATCTCATCGTAATACATTAGGAATGCACTGAAGGTCGATCGTGTACAAAAATTTACACGAACTTCCAATGTACTAAGTACTAAGTCCGACGGTTAACTCAATACGGTAGGTATTGACGTTAAAATAATCTATATATATAAAAATGGATTGCTGTTCCTTAGTCTCGCTAAAACTCGAGAACAGCTGAACGGATTTATCTTATCTTAGTCTTGAAATGTTCGTGGAGGTTCAGGGAAGGTATAAAAGCTGAAAAAAATTGATTCATTACTGAGAAAACCATAAAAACAGCCCTTTTCTATTTCCCATGCAAACGTTTTTTGGAGACATTAGATTTGACAACCAACTAATATGTCAATCATTCTGTCCCACTTCAAAACACGGAGATTTATGGTTTAAAATATAAATTAAAAAACGTAACAGATATTTCTTGATTAAGTATAGGGCGATACGAAGTTCGCCAGGTCTTCTAGTAATCTATAAAAATGAATTGCTGTTCGTTAGTCTCACTAAAACTCGAGAACGGCTGAACGGATTTATCTTAGTCTTGAAATGTTCGTGGAGGTTCAGGGAAGGTTAAAAAGTTGAAAAAAAATGATTCATAATCATAATTCATTGAAATGCCTAAAAAAAGCCCTCTTCTATTTCCCATACAAACGTTTTTTTGACATTAGATTTGATAACTAACTAATATGTAAATCATTCTGTCGCACTTCAAAACACGGAGATTTATGGCTTACAGGTAAACTCAAAAATTATAAATAAAAAATATATATTTATCGATTGATGCACTACGAAGTCTGCTGGGTCAGTTGGTAAAAAATAAATGTGACCTCACTTTATATACGTAAAGAAGTAGGTTAATTTCAAACGTAATTATTAGTGTATTAACGAATTAATTGAATTAAAAAGGTGATATTGTCCTCGTAGAATATTGTTCAATCTTCTTTGATTATATTATTATATTTTCATAATTAGTAATTATTTATTTCTAATTGTGAAAAAATTACCCTAAAAGTCGTTAATATAAAAAATGTTTTCAACTCAAACTTTCTTCTGATATGCTTCCAATCTAGATACGCAAAATTATCCAATGCTAGTTACGTGGTTTTGAACTATCCTGACGATGTATGTACATATAAAATACTTCTTTTTTATTTTTTTTCTTTAATTACGCAACGCAACTCAGCTGCAACAGAAGAATTCCTAGTACAATAACATTAACGCCTTGACATTTGTTGTTACGCAATCATCGATACAAATGTCTTGCATACAAATAAAAAAATGAAAGTAAAAACTCTACAAGCGAAACTAAACCTTACACATATGGTAATAAGATATATATTGGCAAACATTCCTATTAAAATACACTATTTAAGCTACATGTATGAAAAATATTAATAAATTTAAATTTGGAACTCATACTGATGACGTCATTTGAAAATCAACTACGTACCATATAAAGTTTATTACAGATTGTATTATATAAAAATTTTATTTTTAAAATGAATCTTATTTTCTAATTAATAAGACGTATATTAGTATGCGTGTTACGATGCATCGTGTTGTCACACATGTTATGTAATGTAGGTCGCGTCATTTCCGCTAGTGAAACTCGTAAACAAATGGTCGGTTCCAAATTTGAAATTATGTAGTTTGAAATAGTTCGATTGAAATTATAAAAGAAAGATAATCGAAAAAGAGGTTTTATATCACTTTTTTAAATTACGATGTTTTGCAAAAAGAAGAATTATGTTCATGTAAATTAATTTGTAGTCTTTAGGTTAGGCCTGATGTAAATGAAATTGAAAATTTCTTTAATAAGATTCATCCTAGTATTGAGATTGTATTTTAAACGTGAATATAGAAAGTTTGCCGTTTTTCATATATTACCTTAGTTAATACTTGAGAAATCTAAATTAAAATGAAAATGTAAAATTTTCAGTCACGTGCCCAAAGCCAAGCACACCACAATGGCTGAAACTCCTGAATTGAAGAGAATAGCTGAGAACACTAAGATACAGAGCAACGTGAAGTATCACGCGGACTTTGAGAAGAGTAAGGGGAAGTTTACACAGGTTAGTAGAGATATACAGGGTGACTGGTGAATTACTATCAATATTTAAGGAGGATACTCGGTACATGATTCTCATTCGAATTATGTAAAAAAAATAGGTACTTAATTTTTGACAAAATTTCCGTATAAATAAATAAAGTGTTGACACGTTCCAAGTGTTCCAAGTGTGGACGTGTGCGGCGGCGTGCTGATACAACACAACGCCGCCGCCGCGTATGTGTGAGTGTATGTGTATACCTAATCTGTAGGGTGTTCATACGATGCGTAATTAATTACATAACTTTTGGTTAACTTTACTTAGAAGTTTATTAATATTTATGTTATATTAATTTTTATTTTGTCATATATGATCGTCACAAATCACGTCCTCAAATATCGATAGTAATTCACCAGTCACCCTGTATACAGGGTGACTGGTGAATTACTATCAATATTTAAGGACAATACTCGGTACATGATTCTCATTCGAATTATGTAAAAAAAATAGGCACTTAATTTTTGACCAAATTTCCGTATAAATAAGTAAACTGTTAACACGTTCCAAATGTTCAAGTGTGGACGCGTGCGGCGACGTGCTGATACAACACTACGTCACGTCACGCGTATGTGTGAGTGTGTGTGTATACCTAATCTGTAGGGTGTTCATACGATGCGTAATTAATTACATAACTTTTGGTTAACTTTACTTAGAAGTTTATTAATATTTATGTTATATTAATTTTTATTTTGTCATATATGATCGTCAAATATCACGTCCTCAAATATCGATAGTAATTCACCAGTCACCCTGTATATGTATATATGTGAAGTGGTGGTGGCCTAGTGGTTAAAGGCCCGCCTCTCGTGTATGAATGCGGTTCGATTCTGGGGAGTACCAAATTTCCGAGTCATATGTACTCTCTAAGAGTGTTTAGACATCACTGACAGACGGGGAAGGAAATCTCTTGAGGAAACCTGGACTTATAAGTTTAGAGTTTGAAACCGTCAGTCCGCCTCGAGCAAGCATGGTGATTAATGCTCTAACCTTCTCCATGCCAGAAGAGGCTTTAACTCAGTGAGCACCGATGGGCTGATAATGATATAATATATATGTACTAATACATAAACATTACAAATAAATTACATGACAATATGTAAACTCAATAATTCTTCTATCAGTTCAGTTATTTTTCTATTCTAGAAGATTTACACAATATTCTTACCAGGTTGCCGATGACCCTGAAACTCTTCGCATCAAGATGAACACTAAGATAATCAGCAACGTGGCCTACCACGGAGAACTGGAGAAGAAGGCGATGATGGAGAAGCAGCGGCAGATCAATGAGAACGGAGAAATAATCGGTGAGAATATTCTCCATATATATGTTGTGGGCACTTCACATTCATTCATACATTGGATACCCGGTGATTACTTGACCGATTTTTATATAAATATATCTAATTTTGTCTGTTTTTGTTATAATACATAATTTTAACTTGGCATGTATTAAAAAAATATGCAAAAGTATTTGTTTGAAACATATAATATATTCAGTAAGTAGCTTTTTCTTCTTAGTAACAAACATACTTTCAATCATATATAGATATTATTTTCTAGTAGTTATTATCATTGACATAAAAATAAATACATTTAAATGAAAATTAAGTAATACAAATGAAATATATCAATCGGGTTTCTAATGTAATATTGGTTATCAAACACAATTCATTCATTTAGCACTATGTGTTAACATGTACAAGCTACTTCATGATAACTACAAGTAAAATACAGGATTATTACTATAGAATATATGTATATAATTCTATGGTGAACATCCTGTATAAAAAATATCATTTTTTTACTGTAACTCATCATATGTCATGTATGTAAATGTCATTGTGGTGTTAAGATGTGGGCACCAATGATAACTACCACCACCAAATCGAAACATACGCCAACGAGATGCTACCACCAAATCTACCACAAAATCTACCACCGAATCTACCACAGAAGAATCACTACCAAACACCCACACAATCCCGCTACGAATACCGTCAAGAAGAAGTATACCCCAAGTATGAAGACTATCCGAGAAACGCAAACTACCAAACACATAATCAGAATCAGAATTACGGTAATCTGAACCAGAATTATGGTAATCAAAACCAGAATTATGGTAATCAGAAAATTGGTAGAATACAGGATTATGATCCATTGAGTGATGGTCCGAGGGCTGTTCCGAACACTCAAAGGGCATCGGCTACCCTTATATATAACAGCTCGAATGATAAGCAAGGTGAGTACTCACAACTATATATGCATTTACATATATATAGGTATGTATGTATATATGTATATATTTAAGTCATTTTTGTGTTTTCTATGTGCTTTAACTGTGTGGTGTCGGTCTATTTCTGTCATATCTTCATTTTTTTGTATAATTATCATACTTAAATGTGAATTTAAAGAATAATCTTCTTAATAAAGGTAAAGTTATTTTTATTCTATATTATATGTATCCTTATTTAAAAATTTCTCTATACTGACTAAATCCAACAGATAAGATATGTACTAAAGCTCTATAAACTATATGATATATTTATTCCTTCATAAATGTCAATAAAATACTCTACTGATAAAAAATGTAATAATAATACTAAAGTTTATTATGAATATTGCTGTTTGATATATATATAAATATTAATATAATGATATAACATATTCCAGGAGCTCATCAGTCTCAGTCGGCTCAGTCTAGACACATCGGACGAGTTACAGACTTAGACCCGCTGGCGGCCGACCAGAACAGACATACGACACACGGGAACCAGGTATACACAGACACAAACACACACACACACACACACACACACATACACACACGCGCAAGGTTGAAATATATTTATAGTTTGTGTTTACATGAGAAGCACACGAAAATTCAATTTTGTATCGTGAAGTTTAGGTTCACTTTAAAGATATATATAGATGACTACATACAACTGTTTATTTAGTTTTGTAGAGATAAATTGTAATCTATGTATATCCTTTTCTGATGTATGAGCTACATTATTGTAAAGTTGCATCAAAATCCGTTCACTAGTATTTACGTGAAGGATCAACAAACATCCACACATACATATAATATTATTCCGCTTTACTCATCAAACATGTTCTATGATTACAGACGGTGTACATTGCCATGTATGACTACGAAGCGAACGACAGTGACGAAGTGAGTCAAAACTACATATTAAATATACTTATGTACTATAGAAAATTGCTATTCATAATATTCTTCATTCACATAACTAAATGAAGTTATCTCGACATAGTTTTTTGATTATAATACACATAATGACTTACTCGGCTTTGAATCACACCAAATATTTATAACTAATAATAACTAAGCATAGGTAGCGATAAAAAGTACAAATTAAATAATTTTTTAAATCGTCATCTCGTAATACTTATTGACCTTGTTTGTATGGTCTTTAGGAAACCAAGGATTTTTAGTGCTATTGGAATGCAAACAACTCTTTTCTGTTCTCATTTGCATTCTGAATTTCTAAACTCATTAAAAAAAGCTAACTAATAAATAATTAATAAAATATGAACATATTGAAATATTTTTTTATATTAACACTTTAATAATTAAGATTAAAATATCTTGAAGAGTACTCACATTACTAGGGACATAGACAAGTCTTTGTCAATATCAGCTGATCACGATTGTTTACAAGATTGCCAATTTCTATTGAAATGGACTATATATCTTTATATATATAATTCTTCGGTGAGTGTGTATGTCACTGAACTTCTCTCAAACGACTGTACCGATTTTTATGAAATTTTTTGTGTGTGTTCAAGGGGATCTGGGAATTGTTTAGATTCACAATTTTGTCGGCTGGACAATGTTTTTTTTAAATTAATTTTTAATATATTAGTAGTTGTTGACACAAACTTTTTTTTTGACATTAGATCTGACAACTAACTAATATGTCAATCATTCTGTCGCACTTCAAAACACGGAGGTTTATGGCTTTAATAGGTAAACTCTAAAAATATAATTAAAATAACGTAACAGATATTTCTTGATTATAGGGCGTTACGAAGTTCGCCGGGTCTTCTAGTTATAAATATGTTCTTTTTATATTTCCAGGTGTCATTCCGTGAGGGTGATTATATATCTAATGTGACCTGCATCGACGAAGGTTGGATGACTGGCCAGGTGTTAAGAACGGGCCGCACTGGGATGCTGCCCGCTAACTACGTGGAACTGGCGCCGCAAGGATACAACTAACCGCCCACGAATGATCATGAACGCCCATGGATGAACATAGCCGCCCACGACTGATCACGAACGCCCATGGATCATTTTCAATGTGTTAAAAATGAAACATGGGCGTCTCGAAACTAACTAAGACTATTTTTCACATTTATATACTAACAATTGTTATATGCACAGATGCAATATTTTTTATATTCACAATTATAAATATAGTTTTATCATTATCTGTGGTCGAGCAACTATCATGTGCACTTATTATATACTATATGTTACCGTATACACAATTTTTATTACAAAATGTTTAATTTAATAAATGCTTTATCCAGGTTGTGGGTATAATGTCAATTATTATATACAAGAGTATGGAAGTGTTCATTATGTTAGACGAGATGAGTTTTTAAGACGATTCAGGAACATTTTGTTTTGTTAAGGTCACTTTTATTTAATTAATAAAATATGTTAATATTTATTTAAGTAAGTATCCATGAATCTTAAGTCTGGACCAAAATAAAATCTGCATTTTAATTTCATTCCACAATATACTTTTTATAATTACTTTTTATTGAGATTATGGCTACTTAAATTATTTTAAAAGATTTTTTCTTTGGTTTTAATAAAGTAATTTTATAAGTACCTGGTGGCATCACAGGTCGCGATGTAAATAAGTTAGAAATTTAAATAAAACCGTATTTTTATATACATTTATTGTAGAAATTCTTTTTTTTTAACTAAATAAGCATAATATAGTTCAGATTGTTTAAGCGACATTCCTTAATATCATTTTGCCAACTAGTTATAAATGCTTACATGAGTTAGTTTAAACATTTTATTTATTATTAAATATTGAAGAACTAATTTCATTTAATATCTAATAGTTAGCCGTTACGTTTGTTGTAAGCCCATAACATCACAAATGAGACATTTTTGAATTTCACAAATATTTTAACAATATTTTATTTTTATTATTTAAAAATTACAATAGTTTGTTATTTGTATTTGTTTATTTTAAGGCAGTGCCTACAGATGTCTCCACTCACAAAACCTATGTATGGGATCAGTATTAAGCCGACCCGATGTTAGTGCCTTTGTAATATTTAATAAAAAATAAAGCAATCTCGACATTGTTTTATTTATTACAAGACTTAATACTGTAATTATGTAAATAGCTTTCCTATAAACGATTCGTGAATGACAATTTTTTAAAGTAGTAAAATGTATATAGGTTGTTATTCTTAAAGATAGACATATGCCATCGCGGGTTTTTCTGTAGACCAGTGGCGTGCACACCATTTATTTAAATAAGCACTGCATACCCTTACAATACGAAACCTATATTGTTTAATTCTTACTTACAGACTTTTAATCATACATTACGAAATTTGATTCATGATTTGTTAATAAGCGCCATCCATCAATGTAAAAACTAGACATTTTTTATCTGCCGCTGCCAATAACAATATTGTCATTTGTCCTTCAAAGCGCAAGTGAATAAGTTTTTATTAGAAAAAAGTTGATTAATTTATCAACGAATTATGGAAAATTATAGCTGTGAGTTCTGTGCTTGTGTGTTTATTGAAATTAGTTACGAGTAGATATTCTATATTGTCGTTTGATAATAAAATTAAAGTAAGTGTAAAGTCAAGGTGTGTGACCAGTTGAGATTGAACTAAAAGAAAGGTAATGTTATTCGTTTTTATAAAAAGTATGATAGTTTTATTTAGTTAGCAGGTTGTGTACACACAAATAAGTTATTTTGTTTGAGTTGTTTGTTGTTTTCAAATTATAATAATCAGAATGTTTGAATCTCTATAGAATATTCGTATTTAAATAACTTTTATAAAGCTGTCACGAATAGATTGTAATCGTTTTAGACCCAGTTTCACCAATCAATGTTAAATAAGTGACAGCTTGTTAAGGCGTTTGATGCTCTGTTAGATGTATCGAGCGTCCCACCACGCACAAATATGCGTTTAAATGTCTTAACAAGCCACTAATATTGATTCCTGCTCTGGAGCTCCGTCTAATGGCTAACAGAATGTTAATGCATTGTCAAAACTCAATCGACCAATCACAGCCCTGATTTCTTGTAACCATAGTAACATCATCTGTTTTGTCAGTTTTGACTATTTCCTTGTACTTAATAATAAAGTGAATTAAAATTTCATTTAGTATGATGATTTTGTCTCCAGCTTTTCTTTGACGTTGCAAATTAAGTTTTCTTTTTATCTCTTATAATTTGAACACAATTTATGTCTATATTCATAACACAATAATATATAACACAATTTATTGACTACACGATTTTGACAAGTTACACCTAGTAAATTGAAAAAAGCTTTTTGTGTAACAAATGTATGCAACCAACGATATATAAAATTTGGTCGCATTACCTAACAAGTGACGTATCGAGGAATATATACGATCAAAGTATAAAGTGGTGCATCGCGGCAAACTAAACGCCATAGTTTCCATTTGGTCGTCTTATAATAAAAACGAACAATTTGGTAGCGGGTCATGTAATATGACAATTAATAACGCATCTACGATGGAAAATTAATAACGCATTATATACGTAAATATTTTGACAGACAATTATAATTTTGAAGGTGTGTTAGTAAATGCCATGTTTAGATTTAATAAACATTGATTGGTGAAACTGGGTCTTAATTCTTAAGGTACTTTCGTGGTCAGAGGTAGTTGAGATATTCATAAAGTATATACATGTTTGTTCTGATCGAACTGCTGTATAGTCCGTTAGACTTAAGCTGAGCTTTGCATTTTTGTGAGTGTATGTGAGTTATATTTTAAACAGATACATAACACAAGTGCTATAAAATAAGGAAAACTTGTAAAAGTCCAGATGGAAATATTATAAATATTATGTAAAAAATTTATTGAAAAATATAATTTTGAAAAAACTATAAAAATTCTTATTCACTTGACATTCCGTTTTCAGCATTTGATTTTGCTACCAGTACAAAAGGTGAAGCGAGGAAGGTGCGGGGCGAGTAAAAGCAGAATAAACCAGATTAAAACTAGAAACGAACGTTTCATTCAAAATTTTGACATCACACCTTCACTATCCGTGTGCACTCACACAAATACAAAGCTCAGCTTAAATCAAACGCACTATAACATTATGCGCGAATATTATCAATGTTGAAATGTAAAAGTAATCAGAAAATATTAATTTAATATTTTCTGGTTACTTTTCGTATCTTATTATGTTAAAAACTACATACTCCCGACGTTTCGATTACTTTGCAGTAAACTTGATCACAGCAGACATCTCGTCTACCCGTTAAAAATAATAACAATTACAAATATTAGTTTCATTTAAATTTAAATCAATACTTGCGAAAGATATAATTATTATCAATGTTTTAGAGGTGGAAATTATGAAAATTGGTATTTTATTTTTCAAACATATTCTGCTTACCCCAAATCTCTGTGCACGCTAGTGCTATACGTCACCTATATAAAATACATAATTCTACCATACATTGTTTTGTTATATGGGTGAATATATGCTATTTGACTTTCATTGGTGTAGAGACTAATTTTATGTAAAACTTATTATATCATTGTCTCTCTACGCTTAAACAATAAAGAGTATGGCATTTTGTCCGGCCCACAAAGACTATCCACAATATTAGTTTAATTTATATTTTAATAATTTAAAATATATCAAAATGTATACTCCTCTGGCCTTCCCATTTATGAATTATAATGAACTTATGGCCGAATTCCTTCAAAAAGTATACAATTATGTTTTTTTATTTAATGTGGTCATACGCTTTAATAAACATCCAAACATATTTTAACAAAATCAAGAGTAAAAATATTTATTTATATAAAATAACATAACTTATTTTCGAGTCATGTTACAATACTGTTACTTCATCTGGCGGAATTTAATGTCGTTATAATGAATTAAAAATCAAAACTGTGCTATTGATCTTAAAAAACGGGCGAAAAACAGTTTGAATATAGAGGCGAGCTCAATAATTTCAATAAAACTACATTTTTTTATCAGTTTTCGATAAACTGTCGGAAAGTAATTTTGTGTCAGTCATGGGAGTATTTCCTTTGGTAAGCATATATATTTTTATTTTATCATTACGAAATTGTTAATTTCCATAATAATTAATATTAATTGTCCGTAGATGTCATATCTATATAAAAATGAATTACTGTTCGTTAGTCTCACTAATATTCGAGAGCGGATGAACGGATTTATCTTATCTTAGTCTTGAAATGTTCGTGGAGGTTCAGGGAAGGTATAAAAGCTAAAAAAATTGGTTCATTTCCGGGAAAACCCTAAAATCAGCGCTTTTCTATTTCCCATACAAACGTTTTTTTTAACATTACATTTGACAACTAACTAATATGTTAATCATTCTGTCACATTTCAGAATACGGAGATTAATGGATTAATGGCTTAAACTCCTAAAATATAAATAAAAATATCAGAACAAAGAAAAAAGTATTACGATTGACGATATTGTGTTACGATCATAGTTACGATATTCTATGAGTGCATCCATCTATCTTTGTGAGTGACGATTACGGAGACTAAGACGGAATAGAGTTCACCCGGTCAGCTTTACTATTATATTACTAATGACGAAATTGACGCGGACGAAGTCGCGGGCAAAAACTAGTATCAACTAAAAATGGTGTAAGAAAATCGAGTGATGTTAATTTTAATACATTATGAGTGATTTCCTCACTTCTCTGGTGTCACTCCTCTGGCATTTTACATAGGTACATGATAGCCAGAGGAGTTACAATTTTTTTTGTTAAATAGACGTTTTATTTAATATTAGTCAACTTTCTTAGCTAATAATCAATGGTATGACAATAGCCTGCTTTGATTTGTCACTACTGTGGCAACAGTGTCACTCTTCTTTTAACACATTTCCCTCCGGTGCTTATAAAACTAAAAAAAAATGGAATAATCGTCTGGCACTTGTGATTAGTAATATAAATAATTTATTAATTAAAATAGTGTCAAATAAATAAATTATAAATATTGAATGGAATCGATATTTGCTTCTGGGACACGAAAAAACCAAATAGCATATTTTCATCCATATGACATATCTCAAAGGGTTTTGGCAGCGTTTTCGTTAAAAGCTCATTTTTACCCGACATCTTCAACAAAAATGTTAATGTACTCATCAATCAATACAAAAACTTAACATATTATATATTATCTTTCCCGAGAATCACGCTTTCGAATGTTGAAAACCGCTTGATAATTGGTGCAGTAGTTTTTCTGTTTATTGCGAACAGACAGACGCGGCGGGGGACTTTGTTTTATAATACGTATTGATAATGAATAAGCTGTTTCTGTTTTTTAAAGAATACATATTATAAATTTCAGAAGAATCTTTGATATAAGTTACAAATTGTATTCATATAATTTTGAAATTTTACAAAATAAGTTAATACTCATTTATTCCATAATCCTTCCAATTATTTTTATGACTGATTATAATTTATCATAATAATGAACCATTGTATTTGAAAACTATAAATTCTGACTGTAGTCATTTTGTAAGACATTACTGGATGTAAGACGAAATATTTAAAAGCAAATCTGAAACTGTTCAGCGAACACGTACGTTATTGAACGAGGAACGTGATACACCTCGTATGTAGTGTGATACGAACTACTGTTCAAGCAAGACACAAGCACAAAAGTTTTGTGGAAAAGATTTCAAATGACCTTTTGGTTTCAGAATTTTTCGTTCTTCCAGTATAATTGTTTTACGATCATTAAAGAAGACACAAAAAATATCCCCTTTAGTGTATCTCAAAGGTTGTATTTTAGCAAGAAATTTCTTTTGTTGCCTGCTTCTATTAAAGTTATACAAAATATGAACAGTCACTCAATTCGTTTCTATGAAATAAAAGTCACTATTATTTTTAAACATTTATTGATTAAACAAATCTAATCTATTTAATTCATGCATTTACATAATATATCTAATACTCCGTAGTCAACGGTTCGCATCTGTCTCAACTCTCAAGGCACGTACATATGAATTATAACTAAAACTAAACCTACGTTGAAAACTAAACAATAATTAACAAAAAGAAACAACATACTAAAAAGTAACTAACATAAATATCATATAACTGGAACATTTTGATCTCAAACCAATTTTTCATTTGAAATTCCAATTTTTTTATGACAAAATAAACTTGTAAACCAATAAATCTTGCTTACTTTGATCTTCTCAATGATAAAAACAAAAAAATATAACTTTAGTATAATAAACATGTATTACTATATAAATCCTTAACCAAAGTTATGTATATAAAATTATTTTTAATAATTAAACCTACAACACACAAGATTAGTTATAATGATGAAAGAAATGGCCCCTTCAATATGAACATATAATCAATAAATTGACTTAACTAATGTATTTAACATGAAAAGAATACTTAGAAAAATATTAATAAGGCATCACTCAAGGAAAAATATTGAATACCATAAGCTTATCCCTTTCATAGGGAAATTATAAAAAAACCTTCAGTTTATAACTTTCTTTGTATTATAACTAATAGGAAAATACAGTAAATACAATTATTCTTTATATAAAGACAGTAAATATGTATATAATCTTTATATAAGCAATATTCATCTATCGGACAGTTATATCAAGGCACAAACAATTCTAATAACATCACATACTAATATTTTTGTATATTTTTTTGCATCATTTTTCTAACTACAGTTTCGTTTCTTTTTAAACTCATAATAAACTCTTCTCTTCACTTCGTCAAGTCAGTTTTGATTTTCTGAAATTTAAATATATATATAAATTAAATGTGTAATTTAAATTTTCAATAATATAAAAATATTCAGTTTACACAGACATTCAAGTTTTACAATTAATTAATCAACTTCATGAAACAATACAAACATATTCATCCTAATACTTATTAAGAAAAAAAATTAATGAAACTTGTTATATAATTAGCTCATCACAATATGCTTTATTTAGAAACCTATATAATTTATTTAGAATGAGATACAAATAAGATACAAAATCACTATTAAATTGTAATCTATCTATATCTATATACATAATACATATATAATCACCCGTCTCTACCTACCATGCTGCCAGCAGCAGAGCATCATGTTCTCTAGCCAGTGTGTAAGTGCTGTTATCGGGCAGATGTCTAACAAGTTCATCCGTCAGCCTCACACGAGTACCGTTGGGGCCACTCACTAGAACCATCTCGCAATCCTGGAAACAAAAGAAATATTTAATAACTTGAGTTATAACAAGTTAGTTGACTATTAATTTATTTTTTAAATGTCGTATAATCTGTAGTTATTATTTATTGAGTATATATATAGTATTCAAGTACTAGTTTTGCAAGAAAATCAAATGTATGCCCGCCTCTCATGCATGAGGGCGCGGGTTCGATCTTGGCTCGGGCAAGTACCAATGTGATTTTTCCGAGTCATATGTACTTTCGAAGAGTATTTAGACATCACTGATTAATGCATTCCCAAAGAGTGTTGATGTCAGGCAGGCGGTCGGTCGGAAAAACAATTAGCCAAAACTATTCATTACATGTAGGCAGACCCTGGCTAAAGCTGGAAAATTGCCAGGTAGAAGAAGAAGAAGGTTTCATATACATGAATACTCGCGGAATTCTTAAATCTCATTAGGTCTTATATTTAATATATTATATCCATACCTCATGTCTTCCAATAGCCTTCAGTTTATGTAACAATTCGCTCGCCTTACACGCGTGTAGGTATATAGCGCTGTACACACTACCACCGGCCGGACACACGTACAGCGTGAGGCGAGGCTCGATACGTCTGAAATTTATAAAGCAATATTATAAATAAACTAATATTATATATACTATACATGAAGAGTTTTATTGATAGCCATTTTCTTTGTAGGAAACAGTGACAAAAATTATCTTTTATTTAGTTAGTAAGTTAGTTAATGGTACCGCCATCTATAACATTATTTGTAAACTAAAGTGAAATTATATGAAAGATGTTTGTAATAAAATTATTTTCATATGTTCGCAGTCTGAGAGAATATACATATGTATGTTAAAAAAATATCATTATAAGTATCATATTGAAAATTATAATAATTACTTGGCATGCAGTGAGTTATATAGCCGTATCCCGTCAGCGAGTCCACAGATCTGTATGATGTCATCTCGAGACAGTCTGAAAATAATAATCATTATATATTTATTGAATAATATTCATTATTAAATACTAAATAAAGTTTCATAGCTTTGTTACTATGAGTCCCATAAGAGTTGTGAGTAACATTTTATTTCTTAGTCATTTAGTTTGTCAAAGAATAACAAAAAAATATTATTTCACCTACATGGGTACAAAGTTCCATTAAACTACAATTCTCAGTGTATTTCTTCTTGCCCTAAAGAAAATTTTGTATAACACATAAAAACATGATATAGTAGTATAAGTTACTCTTCAAATCCAAATTATGTCTATATAATAAGGTATAAAACTATTTGATGTTAAATAAAGTGTCTGACCTGAGCAGATCAGCTCCGGAGAAATTAGCAAAGGTCATTATATGCTGGTTAAAGCGATGCTGTGACAACCAACTCTGAGTCTCTGATGAACTCGCCTCCTTTGATAGACCCTGGTTCTGATGAGAAAAATAAATAGTGAAAACAATAATAATAATATAGATAATGTATTATTAATTGAATAATATCCAAATATAATCTAAGCTGTATAGAATTTTATAATGTTGTTGACTGATCTGAATTTTATTTACATAAATATAATATTGTATGTGAGGATTACCTAGGATTATTACTTAATCTGGAAGAAAACTGCTAAACCAATTGGGATGAGATTTTATATTTTTGTAGTCATAGTAGGTACTTTCACTATACATTATTGCCATGGTTAATTTCAGAGACAAAAAAAATTAAGTTTTAAATATAAGCATACATATTATGTTTTTTAACTTTAATATACAAAGAAAGTAAAGTTTATCCTTCTAATATTATAATTGCGAAAGTTTGACTGTGTGTGTATGTTTGTTACTTCTTCACGCTCAAACGGCTGAACCGATTTTGATAAAATTTTGTATACAGGAAGCTGACGTCCAGGAATAACACATAGGCTACTTTACATCGCGGAAATCCGCGGGTAACACCGCGGGGCGCAGCTAGTATGATATAATCTTTTATCTACCTTATCAGGTTCCTCGGCAGGTTGTGGCAGATCAGGCAGGATGGCTCCCGGAGAGTGACACGATGGATTGCTCACTTTCACCTCAGTACTATGATGTTAAAAGAATAAGGATGATTATAAATAAACTTAGTGGTAGGAGGGTAGATATAAGAAAACTATACATTGGTAGGGGGGTGAATATGGGAAAGTTGTATAGTGGTAGGGGGGTGGATAGAAAGAAATTAAGTGGTAGGAGGATTGGGTACAAGAAAACCATATTGTGGTAGGAGGGTAGATATAAGGAAAACAGTATCATGGTAGGAGGGTGAATACAAGAAAAGTATATTGTAGTAGGAGAATGGATACAGGAAAAAAAATTAAATGATTAATCATTAAAAATATGTGTATAAAAATAATTAATAATACTCACTCTTGACAGTAAATAGGTTTCATTTGATTGTTGGTGTTGAATGTTGCTGAAAAAAAAGTTAATATAAATAAATAATTCATAAATATATTATTTACTTTATACTATATTAAATAACTTACAGGGCTGTGTCAATATGGGCTTGTTCACCAAAATTGGACTTGTTACTGCCTTCGGTGTGATACTGAAACAATGATAAAATTAATTAAATATAATATGTTTAATGATTCAAAATTAAATTTTTGCATACATATTGTTGATTTTTAATGAAAGTACCAAATTATGCATTTATTTCACTTTTCATTTACTTCTGTGTGCAAGCAAACATATCGAGAATCATATCAATTTATACATAAATTATTATATTTTCATTAATTTATTTAACTGTCAAGATTTTAATGATAAGAAAATCATTATTATCACAATTAAACAATGGACATTGTTAATTAAAAAGTTATGTTGTGTATCTTTGTGTCATTAATACAAAAACTATAATGATTTATATACATATATATAGGCAGACCCTGGCTATAGTTGGCAAATTGCCAGGTAGAAGAAGAAGATATATAATCACCTTCTACGGCTTGTATGTAAACAAGAAAATCTTTAAAACATATAGAATCCTCTAAGAATACTAATTTCAAACATAATTTCTTAATAGTTTTGCATCTTATTATAATAAAGTCACATTTTAATATGTCTTTAACTACTTATTCTAGCATCGTAACAGGTTTACTGCACATAATTATAATAATTAGCTGTTAGTGTAGAAAATAATATAATATTTTATTTCAAAGCAAAAATATATATTATTTATATAAATACATACTTTTATGTGTTGTTTTATGTTAGAAATCAGATATAAATATATAATTCTCATACTTTTGTGAGTAGATTTATTTATTTATTTATGAAATCCTTTTTTAACTGTTAGCTGTATTGTAAAGACTAGTTTAATACATTATTTATATATTACATGTACTTTAGAAAAATTAATAGAAAATTAATGATTATTGCTCTTCATGAATACTCATATTGTAGATTTAATTTCTGTTTCAATATATTTTGTTTTTTTTTTTTTTATCAAAAATTAAACCTTTTAATGTTGAAAATAACTAATTACATAGCCATTAATTATGAGAATGCTATAGAAACAAAATAGTTTTTCTTTTCTTATGCTTGATCATACATTATGTATTTTATGGAATATTGTATGACACTATTTCTATTTAATTGTTTTATATCAGATAAAATTCAGTGACAAATAAAAAAAAAACTATTTTTAGTATGTGAGACTAATCATAATATTATTCAACCATATTTTTGCTGTCAGATTATTACAAAGTATAATCAATTGATATATATGATAACTGATGATAAAACCTCCCAGGAAACATTACGATAATATTGACGGGTTATTACAAAAGTTTGTTTTGATAAAGATATTAAGATAAAAATATTTACGCTAAACGCGATCTTCCCGGTTTCACGATGACGTTGGCTGCTCTCAAACGTCTCGCTAGTTCCATATATGTTTCAGGCTCCGCGTCTATTTCGACCTCGGTTCTCAACAGTGAGAACTTCATCCGCCAGCCCTGGGCCTCCACGCCGTGGACAAACCTGGCCCGTAGTACAACTCCGCGGCCCACACGCCTAGCACTAAGTCTCTGCTCGACAACGAGCATAATACTCGTCAGCTGTAGTCCTGTCTCGTAAGATTGAAGAAGAGGAAAGCCCCAGATCCAACGCGACTCCAACCGCCTCTAACAACCACCATAGCTGGACCACACACCACTTTTACAACCATTACGTTCGTACTGTTTATAACAAAACTAAACACTTCTTAAACGTTCACTTGTCCAACATTATTTTGAAGTCCCACGCCGTAACACTATTCGTTTTGCGATTTACAATGAAAGTGCGTATTCAGAATAAACCGATACGAGATAACACCGGTTTAAAAGCGGTTGACGAAATTTAGGTTTATCACTTGGAAATAATATTGGAAAATAGAAACAACGAAGTACATGAAGGAACGCAAACGACTGAGCGGAATGGAAGTTGATTGGTCGAGAGCGAAGCGCGTTTGCCGATTGGATCAAAACCGGTTAGAATCAGTTTATGTAGGCCGCGGCCGGCTCGCAGTGGTGCACCGGACGACGTCATGGCAATAGTGAAGTGACACGACGCTCTATTTTTATCGACTAAAGTAGTATTCGTTTTTATTTTACTAAGATTAAAATATATTTCGCACTCAGTGTACCATTATTGTTTAACCGCTTTAAACAGATACATTGACTTCAGGCTATTGTTACCGCCGTTTGGTTATATCGACAAAGAACCGGATAACGAGTAAGCAGTTTTGCCAATTGAGTGTCAATTTGTAGTTAATTGATAAAATCCGGTTTTTGTTCTAACTTTGAATTTGTCACTTGACTACCACTCAACGTAGGAATTATTTTTGTAAATATTTTTACAAGACGTAGATATGTTGTAGACATGACCTTAGACAACTTACTGCAGCACAATTCACAAATGGCTCGTAATGATGATGTATGATTTATATCATGCATATAAAATTACAAACAACTTAAATGTAAATAATAAATGCTTACGTTTTTGTACTCGTTGACAATTACAATTGTTTTGATTAATTTAGCACGTCGTTTTTTAATGATATTACCATTCATATGTGTTTATTTTGTAATAGGTTGGTTATTAATTATTTTAACCCGACTCCAAAAAAGGAAAATGATCTTTATTTGTCTGTATTTTTCTATATATGTAAAATGTGTTAAAAGTATATTTAGATGTAAGTGTAAAAAGCACACATTTATTTTTATATAAATTGGTTTAGAAATACACTAAATTAATGAAAGTAAACATTACACACAACAAACAATACGACAATCAATGTAGTTGTCTCAATGTGTGTGTCACTAAATATCAAATATAATGACGTTACTATTTTGCTATGGAAGTTGTAATAAATAATAATCAACACATTATTTTCAAACACATTTGAAGATTTAGTTTATTTAATTTACCTTTACATTACAAAGGTCATATAATAAAATAAATATCTGATGAAAATAACCAATAAGACTTTTCAACACATTGGTTACATAAGATTGTTAAAAGTAATTAAAAAAACAATTTAATTCAATTATAACGTGCAAAATTAACGATAAAAGAATCATGACCTACGAATAAGTCTGAACGCTTTGACCTATACCAGTAATTGAAACACTTAACATTTCGTGTCAGGAATGATTTAACGAGCGAGTGATTTCAGAGGGGTGTGAAATACGAGGCGGTTAGAGCCGGATACAGCCACATGGTGATGGATTTTAATGTGGCTACAGGTAAAAACAATATAAACAGTATTTCATTATATATGAGAGTAATAAAGTAAAGGAATTTTGTGAGAAGATTAAAAGTTTGGTAATTTATTAATGGTTTTATAAATGTATGTATAAGTAATATAAGTATCTATTATAAGAAATATACAATTTAATATAATAATATTAGGAGTAATATAAGTGTTTTTTGTACATTTCAGTTGATATAATAATAAATTGTACACTTTACCCTGTCTATTCGTTTATTTTCTTTTTAACAGTTTGACCTATGAATTACCGTTTTTAGTTTCATAAAATATGTTACAGTACTGTTTTGACGGGTCACGTCCACTGAGTGGCCTGAGCATAACTAACGAACGCAGACTATAAAATAGGTCTTGGAATAAGATAAATCGGTCATATACAAAAATAAATCGACTTTAGTCATAGTATTTGACATTGTATTCATAATGAATCAGTAAGAGAAGGGTCAACGAACTCCACTCTAAATAGCTGACCTGTTAGCTATTGTTGTTGAAGTCTAGGGTCTTTGTAAGAAGATATTTTCTGAAGTTAACAAAACATCCAATATTTAAGAGAGTTTATTAATATACTCATTATGCAGAAAAGTGTACAACGAAAGTAGAGGCTTAATTAAAGGGTGTTTCAAAAATATCTTATGTTTTATAACTTATGTTTTATATGAATATTTTATTCTTATGTTTATTACGCTACAATTAAAACGTTAAAGAAATATTTCAAACTATAAAATATGAGCCAAAAAAAATTTTTCTAGGATATAACATGATTAACATAAGAAAATGCTTTTAAAGAAACATCAAGGTTGTAAGCAAAACAAACATCAAACAAATTACAGCCCAAAACTACTCGTAACAGGATTCTAGGTTGAATCAATGAAGACATCTTAATATGGTACAACAGGATAGGACTACAAAAATAGATGAAAAACTTTGTGATAAAAATAACATTTCGCTTTCAAAGACTTACAAAATAGATGTTTTTATTATACATGTATAATGTTTCAGTATATAGAGATTTTATTTAATATATAAATTGTGATATAATCATTTATGTGTTGATTTCAATTGCATTGAAAGTAATTTTCATCTCAGTAATCTCTTTTGTTGATAAGAAATTCCGTTGAACTCAAAAGGACGAACGAAATCATAAGGATATATTATTGAGACGCTGTACAGTTACCCGGCTAAAAATATCCGCTCATACAAACTATGATCGGGGTAACTAACATGCCAATTGAATAACAAGGGACCAATTGAGCAACTGTATGTTAATTTATATCCACAGGGCTCGGCCAATGAGCTGTGATGCAAGAGATGAACTTGTGTTCTATTTTTAAAATACTCTAGTGACGCTTCCTTTATCGATATAATTTTACCGGTTTTTTTTAAGTAAATAAAAAACACTATTAATAAATTATTTGTGTTACTAAATATATTTTAGTATTCTAGATATAGTTAAATGTGAAAGAATAACAAAATACAAGTTTCAATTGGAAGATAATTGACATTCATTAGCCAGTAGTGAATATGAAGACATATCTTTGCTTTGTTTATTGTTTATTCAAAGAGTTGTTTGGCATTGATCAAACACATAAATAGTTTCAGTGAAGGTATTACTTATTAAATGCGAGGTCGAATGCATTTTTCTGTATCGATGAGTTACTGATATTGAACCAATTTTAATGAAATTTTCCATAGCATTAATCAGTACACTTTCCATAATATGTATGTGGATTGACAAATTTATTTCCGTATTTTTATAATTTCCCCTTATATTTATCGTTATGTAGATATATATATATATATTTAATTTGATATTTTTTGTTATATATTTTTTTATGTCTAAAACTAACAGATCTAAAGTTATTTATGTAATAATATAGTTACATAATTGAGTTACAACGTGGCGTTTCAATCGTTCATTGTTCCATTGTAAATAATCCCGTTAAACGAACAAAGCAACGTTTCACTTCATGACCCGCTTTTGTAATAGCTATTTTACTGTTATTCATATAATTATAATATAACACTATATGACTTCTAGAAGAAGATACCACTATATGACCACTTTACGTTAAAGAAAATCTTCTTCCTTGTGTTAAATTTATATCAATATAAGATATCCAGTCTTGAAATTAAAATAAATGAAATTGTGTACTTTAAAAGGAGGTACATTAAATTTCAAATAAGTTAGTTTATTTATCTTAGATCTAACTTTTTATGTATGTTACATACGTATGTATGTTGAATATCTTTAATAGTGGTGCAATTAACATAGCTGTCATTAAAAAAATTTCAGTACGATCTATGATTCAAAACTATAGTATCGACTTTTTCATTAACAAATCAAACGACCTCAGAATGAAAAACTTTTCAATGTTTGGAAGGAAAGTGATGACACTGGTTAATCACTTCTGAGACATTCAAAGCTTAAAAATTATAACAAAAATATTAAAGTACCAAAATGGACCGTTTCTATCATTGTAATAGTCTTGTCTTTATAATTTTCTTTTCAAAATTTGTCTTAACGATGCTTATTTCAATGGGAAACAGAAGCGACTTCCTGGTCTGATCATGTGTATCATCAACCTGGCAAACTGCCAACAATTAGTATTAGTTGTTTTATTCATCGAATGAGAAAAAGGTACAAAAGATCTTACTAATTATGTATGGATATTTTTGTTTATTTACTATACTTACTTTCAAATGGATTAGTTAATTATTTTTTTATATTTACAATATCTTTATCTACGTTAAATATTGACCTTGAAAAGATCGAAAATATTATTATGTAGTTTTTTTAACAAGTATTTTCTTAACTTACATGCATTCAAAATGAATATGTCTATTTGAAATTCTTTTAGAAATGTCGTACCAAATACAGATACAGGCCTAGCCTAGTGTGGACGTCAACGTTTACTATACATTGCACTGTTAAGTGTTTTTAGAAATGAATAAATTAATAAAATATAATTTTACGTTGTTTTAATCAATGAAAGTTCATGGTATTTAACGGGTATGAAGATAGACATATATACCTAATACCTAAGAAGTAAGAAATGTGTGACCATTTGTGTTATGATACAAATGAGCAATGCCGTAAACAGAAAATAGTTTAAAATGTGTTAACGTTCGTTCCTCAAGTGACACATTTTTTTTTGTTATATTATAATTACAATTAAATAATGTTTTTCAATTCCATAGTAACAAAAGTTGTCTTCAGCAAGCGTTGAATCATATTTACGAAACGAAATTAAAATCTACCAAGAGTTTTAATAAATATGGAGTATTCATGTTCCTAAGAGTTTTAGACAATATATGTTTAACAACAATATTTAATTATAAAAATATCGTATGAAATGTTTTCGTAATGAAAAAGACAACTATTTTATAATTTTCCATGATATAATTGTTAACACTTTAGGTTTGTTTAAAACATATATTTATCTCAAGTACATACAATTAAACATTATCCGTTTACTCAACAACAATGTAACAAATAGTAAATTACGTTCACAAGAACGCTCGTTATACGATGGTTCATATCATCATAATATAAACATAATAATATTTAATATGTACTTATAAATGATAACTATAAAATTTTATTATATAAATAGAAATAATAATCGACATAAAATGATCGCATATTTATACGTCATCGTTTATCGATATTGGAATTTTCGCGTCACTATTGCGGAACGGTATTCCAGTTATTAGTTTCAAATTTTGAACTGTCAAATGAAATGCCGTTTTCAATTGACATTTGAGTAATTGTGCACTTTTATTTTTCTTACCACTAAAAAGCAATTAAAATATTTATTAATGCTCATACTTATTCATATATGCTATCGGAAGTATGGATAAAAAGTGTTTATCAACACGTTAAAGGCCGATAGAAAAAATAAAAAATCGTAAAAATACTTTTGGTCGTAATTTGTTTATTATGTTAGGATGCGTATATAAAATAAGTTTTATTCAATTCTGAACATGGGTTACATAATTACAGTCAAATACATAGCTGAAATATATAATAGTAAATTGTTCACCAAGGGTGGAAAGAATCAATTCCCGAGGTAGGTAGAAACTCTCATGGCCTCAGCATTTTTTTTTTATTTCTACATATAATGTCACCGCTGACAGTGGTTGTATTTTTGAAATTCATTCCGGCCCTTGGGTGGAAAGTAATTTGTATGAGTTATTCCCGTCCTAGGGACGGAAAAAGCATTTTCCGTCCTATAATCAGATCAAAACAACAGTACTTTCCGAGTATGAGGAATGAAAAATATATTACAAAGGTCACACGCTAGCAATTGATATTTGGTACACTAGCTTGGAACTGGCTTATCGGTTATTGGAGAAGCAAACCCATATTATTGGCACATTGCAAAAAAAAAACAGATTCGTAAACCAAAAGTTATTTTGGATTATAATTAATCGAAAGGGTCTGTAGACATGAGTGACCAGATGAATGCCTATTCTACGCCATTTCGGAAAACCGTTAAATGGTATAGAAAAGTTGGCAATAGAACTACTTCTAAATACGGCAGTTGTAAATGCTTGGGTCATGTATAATGAAGTTAAGCAGATCAAATCTTCAATTGTTGACTTTAGGAGGACTCTCATAGACTATTCAACTCGGTCAGCAGATACCCATGAAATAATTATTATCAATGTAAGACCAAAAAGACTCAAGCATGTTCTAAAATGAAAGGAAGGAAAAGTAAGAGACACGCGTCGCTGCTGCGTCCAATGTTATAAAGATTCAGTACAGAAATTTGGTCGTAAAGTTACTAAGAATAAAGCTAAGAAAGTGAGAACGTACTGTGTGTTTAAAATGTTTCAATTATGTCCATCGTCAGTTGATGCAGTTGATGCTGTTTCTTATCTCATCTTTCATGGCATGTTTTGTCAAATATTATGGTTAATTATTTATATTTCTAATTGTTGTTTGTAATTATAGTCACTAATGAAAACTTGAGACGAAACCTCTCATCATTCAATGTATTCACGGTGCGTGTGTCGGGTCCATCGTTGTAGTGAGAGGAGCTTCAACAGTGACTGGGACTTGCGACCCAGGTGTAGGTTTAAGGCGCCACTATCTAATTCGCGTTAAACGCGTATAATTTTTTTTTTCAGTAAAACTGATAGTATAGTTTGTATTTCGTTAAAAAATAAAGACTGCTAATTTTCGTTTAAATAATAAAGACTGGTTTGAATTATACAGGGTGACTGGTGAATTACTATCGATACTTGAGGACGTGATATTTGACGATTATATATGACAAAATAAAAATAAATATAACATAAATATTAATAAACTTCTAAGTAAAGTTAACCAAAAGTTATGTAATTAATTACGCATCGTGTGAACACCCTACAGATTAGGTATACACACACACACGCGTGTTGTATCAGCACGCCGCCGCACGCGTCCACACTAGGAACACTTGGAACGTGTCCACGCTTTATTTATTTATACGGAAATTTGGTCAAAAATTAAGTACCTATTTTTTTTACATAATTCGAATGAGAATCATGTACCGAGTACTCTCCTTAAATATTGATAGTAATTCACCAGTCACCCTGTATATCCTGAATATTTATTAAGAGAAAATTAGAGAGTAAGAAAATTTGCTCTTACAAAATAAGTTATCCTTATTTATAACTATTTTTAACAGTCAGCTTATCCATTTTCATTTCACTAATAAAATACTTACACACTCCTACTACTTTATTTCCGACTTTAACTTGCACTTGTAATTAGATTTTATTAGAAAATTAAATGAGCCACTTATTTTGAAAGTTGTCTAACTCCATTTATCTTCAAATCCAGATATTAAAAGTTTTGCGTTTCAATGAATTTAAAAATACACATATAAGATACTAAGGAGTCATACTGCTTAAGCATATCAAAGGATATTAAATTTAAAGTTTCTTTTAAAATCATCGTCATCATCATCAGCCTATCAGAGCCCACTGCTGAGCAAAGGCCTCTTTTTCACATGGAGAAGGTTTGAACATTAATCACCACGCTTGCTCAAGACGGGTTGGTGATTTATAACTTATAATTGTGAAACTATAAGTCCAGGTTTCCTCACTATGTTTTCCTTCACCGTATGTAAGAGGTGTCTAAATACTCTCAGAAATGACTCCGAAAAATCACATTGGTACTTGTCAGGTTTGAACCCGCGCCCTCGGCTACGAGAGGCGGGCCCTTTAACCACTAGGCCACAACAGACACTAAAATAGTGACAATTTTTAAGTAAATAACGTGCGTTTTCTTATCAAAAATGGAGTTGGGCCACTTTCTAAATTAACAGCCAGATTCATTATAAAATTTATAATCTTCTTGTGTGTGGATGGCTCTCATACTACCATTTCTCTACCACCAATGTTTGCGAATATAAATGTTCTTTGTGAAATCATTACATTTACTATTTTAATTTTAAATATTAAACTACAACCAATCTTAGTTATTCAAATCAGCACAAAACATAACATAAGTTTTAGTTATCAATTATTAAAAAATCTATACATTATTTCAACTTGATATTTTATAGAAAACATAATTGATTATGAATTGGTTTCCAGATAAGTTTTCTTTGAACTAAGCGTTATAGAATGAACCTTCACATATTACAAATCATGTTTCGAATAAAATATTACTGTTCTTTAGTAAAAATCATAGTAAAACTTACCACATCTCTGGTGAGTATGGTGGTGATGTTGTCACTAGCGAAGGTGGTGGCATCAGGGCATCGTTTGATAGCTGGTGGTGAAATTACAATATTTAATTATGATATCATTATAGGATACATGTTACATTAAGGCATATCATTTTATATCATATCATGTTATATATAATATCCCACAAATGGGATTTATGATCCATCTTAATTAAAAATCTTAACACTCACAAAATCCCTTATATCTTAAGCATAGGATAAATGAATATAAAGAATGGTCAGTTTTTTAAGAAATACACATATACATCCACACACATACACACACACACACGCATATACATGTATACATAAATACATTTTAGGTCACAACATATTCATAGCATATAACACATGCTTTGTTTATGTATTTAGATTACAAATCCATAAATACAGAAAAATAATGAAGAGACAGATTTGTATATATTTCTAGTACTAACTAATCCTACTAATATTATAATTACGAAAATTTGTGAGCGTGTGCGTATGTTTGTTGCTTCTTCACGCTCAAACGGCTGAAGCGATTTTGATAAAATTTTGTATACAGGAAGCTGACGTCCAGGAATAAGACATAGGCATACTTTACATCTCGGAAATCGGGTAACACCGCGGGGTGCAGCTAGTATGATATAATCTAATCTAACTTGTTTAGTACTAGAACTGTAACAATCTTTATCCCTCCTTTTTTCCCCCACTCCTTACCGTTGTTAGTACAGTAGCATCACATCCAGGTTGATATCTCTCCACTTCAGACCTGGGTCTTCTCAATACTCGTTCCCTGTCTTGCTTGTGTTTACGATCCGCACCTTTTAGCTTGAACACCTGTGAAATTATTATTATATAGAAAATATTTTTGATAGTAGCAATATACCTGTTTCTTTCATATTATAATTTTGAGTGTCTTTAAGGCTAGAGTGAGTATAGCATTGCTGAGAATATTTTTTCTTCATCTGTTTTCTTTCTATTAACATTTTACATATGTCTTTGTGGGCTATATTGAATAGATTATTGCTGAAATAGTTCACCACCAACGGCTTCATTTCCACTGTCAAGCAGGTAGAATTTCAGTAAACTACTATCCAGTTTATATATATATTCTTTAAGTAATTCTATACTATGACGTCACACTACAATAATTCTTTTGTAACTATAACACATTAAAATCAACTTAGACTCGAATCTGTGACTTATGGAATAGATTTCAAATTGCTTCTTCAAATAAGCTTTCGTATTCAAGTTCAGTTATTGAAGGCAATCAATAAGCGTTCTTACGGAACGCCTAATAATTTAATAGATTTTATATGAACTAATATAGCACAATCTTCATGGCTTATGACGTCATAGGGGCCGTTCAAGTATTACGTAAGCAGATTTATTACAAATATTTCCCCCCCATCCCACTTGTCAGCAAAAATAAGCAAAACTCTTACCCCCTCCCCATGCTTACGTAAACATTTTCAATTACTGTATTTTTATTTTTTTAATATAAATTCATAAAAAAATCTAATTATAATTTTATATGACTCTTCTCGATGTGATGATAAAAAAGTAAATTACTGCCGATGACGTAATCATCATCTAGACTCTCCTACCCGCCATGTCATCCAAAATAAGCAAAGCAAAGACCCCCCGCCCCTCCATAGTGCTTACGTAATACTTGAACGGCCCCATAGATGTTGTTATGTTTGTTACTTGGCGAACATATTACTCGCTGCAGAGATATTTGTGCTGTACAACGCGTGAATAGAGTTTATATTCGAGTACCTTAATCTGGCAAGCAGCTGTATGGAGTCTCCTATCTTCATACATTGTCTCAACTTGTATACGGAAAGGCACGCCCTTCTCACCGCCGTGCTTCTTCGCTGTAAACTCTGTTGATATGCAGTTTACCTGGAATTAAAATTATATTAGATACTAGTTATTGCACGCGGCATTCACTGTAAGTAATACGGAATTTGAAAGCGAAAGAAATGGATAATTTGCTATTAATAATTAAAAGCGGCATCTATCGTCTGTTTTATGTAACTATTGTTATACATTCAACTAGAAGTGCAAAGATTTGATAAGTTACAGTCTGTGTTATTTTGTTCTATATGTCATTGAATATAAAGTTTAATTTTAAGCTACACAATATAATATAAATAGTTACGGCTAGTCGGGTCAATGACACTTGAGTTAAATTTTCAGTTGGATAATTTACTTAAAATGCTATTATAGTACGAGATCCGGCTGCAGAATCAGTGTACCCATCGAGTGTTTGCTGAAAACCAAATTTTTACACATATTCATGATTAGGAGAATTTATATCCACCAGGTTGCCTATCAAAAAGTGGCCGCTAGTATTTTTAATTAAATTATTAATAATTCATAATCCGTAAGAAATTTCATTGACTTTTTTTTTCAATGAAATGTCGTCTACTTTACGGCAACATCTATAAAGACTCTGAAAAATTATGGTTGCCGTTGCGCACCTGGCCGCACCTCTTCGCAGCCAGGTATACACAGGTATGAATTTGTTACATTTATACACCCACAACGTACATTTATAATTTATATATCAAATTAAAGCAAATTTTTTTCTGTATATTATTATATACGGTTGCTTAATTAAATCTGGCCGCCAATAAGGGTTGCTGGCTAATAAATATAGTAAATATTAAAAGTAGAGTGAAAGAGAGCTAGCGCGTAACACCACTAGTCAGACGAGGATAGCGATTGCCAGCTGTCGGACGGTTTAAAGCCATTGCGCATGCGTCAGATGTTAGTGTTCTCAACCTCCGATTCAAACAATAGTAGGTACGACTCAAAATAATAAATACTCCAAAAGAAACGTCTTTCTTTTCTAAAATAAAAAATTAAAAAGTCAATGTGTATTACGTACTCCAAACAGCGTGGTTTCGAACTTAAAATAAAAATCACAACTGATCCGTTGAGAACACTAACATCTGACGCATGTGCAATGGCTTTAAACCGTCCGACAGCTGGCAATCGCTATCCTCGTCTGACTAGTGGTGTTACGCGCTAGCTCTCTTTCACTCTACTTTTAATATTTACTATATTTATTAGCCAGCAACCCTTATTGGCGGCCAGATTTAATTAAGCAACCGTATATAATAATATACAGAAAAAAATTTGCTTTATTTGATATATAAATTATAAATGTACGTTGTGGGTGTATAAATGTAACAAATTCATACCTGTGTATACCTGGCTGCGAAGAGGTGCGGCCAGGTGCGCAACGGCAACCATAATTTTTCAGAGTCTTTATAGATGTTGCCGTAAAGTAGACGACATTTCATTGAAAAAAAAAGTCAATGAAATTTCTTACGGATTATGAATTATTAATAATTTAATTAAAAATACTAGCGGCCACTTTTTGATAGGCAACCTGGTGGATATAAATTCTCCTAATCATGAATATGTGTAAAAATTTGGTTTTCAGCAAACACTCGATGGGTACACTGATTCTGCAGCCGGATCTTAGACTATTATGTTTGATAGTATGTAATATGTAGATACAAGAACGTGCGCGTGTATGTGTGTACTTCATACTTGTGTGTGTGTGTGTGTGTGTGTGTGTATGTGTGTGTATTACGTACTTTTACGTACACCCCCACATCTTTAGTCGGGTCCCAGTGTACATGTAGTTCATTGAGGGCAGCTGGTTGCTCCACGCGTGACACTCCATACGATAGCGGTACGTCCACCTGGAAAAGATATTATCAAGACATATATCATATCATTATCATATCATCTTTATATATGTTTATAATTCTTATGTGAGTGTGTATGTCACTGAACTTCTCCCAAACGACTGCACCGATATTGATGAAATTTTTTGTGTGTGTTCAAGGGGATCTGGGAATGGTTTAGATTGACAATTTTGTCCGCTGGACAATGTTTTTTTAATTAATTTTTAATTTATTAGTAGTTGTTGATACAGACTTTTATTTGACATTAGATTTGACAACTAACTAAAATGTCAATAATTCTGTCGCATTTCAAAACACGGAGACTTATGGCTTTAATAGGTAAACTCCAAAAATATAAATCAAATAACGTAACAGATATTTCTTGATTATAGGGCGATACGGGTCTTCTAGTATCATATAATATTTCAGTTTATTAAGTACATATTGTATATACCTCTAATATCCTCTCTCCGGGCCTGTCGTTATGCCACTGTGCTATCTGTTCTCTCTCCATGTACTGCAGGCGTCGCTCGTGGAAGCAGATCTTTATTATACTCTGTTGAAAGAAAACTTATTGATTTATATAGATTGAATTGATTAGTGAGATGATTGTTTTCATTATCAATGATTTAAGTATTCAAGCCAGTGGTTAAAAATCCGCCTCTCGTGCTTTTCAAGTACTAATATGATTTTTCCGACTCATATGTACTTGCTAAGAGTATTTGAACCTACTGACAAATGAAGGAAAACATCGTGAGGAAACCTGGACTTATAATTTTATAATTATAAGTTTGAAATCACCAACCCGTCTTGAGCAAGCGTGGTGATTAATGCTCTTATCTTCTCCATGTAAGAAGAGGCCTTTGCTCAGCAGTGAGCTCTGATAGGCATATAACGAAGTATATAATTATTTGACTTAACTTTCCATGCGGCTTTTCTACCTACTCTTCAACTACCTGGCAATTTCCCAGCTTCTAGCCAGGGTCTGGCTTACATGTTGTGAATGGTTTTGGCTATTTGTTTTTACGACTGGCCGCCTGCCTGACATCAACCCTCTTTGGGAATGCATTAATCAGTGATGTCTAAATATGATAGAAAGTACATATGACTCGTAAAAATCACATTGGTACTTGCCCGGGCCAGGATCGAACCCGCGCCCTCGTGCATGAGGCTCTCGCTTTTCTTCCTACTACAATATATATACATACATACCTTTAATATCTTCCCCTTATAATGCGCCAAGTCTCCCAGTTTCTTCAGCTTGACCTCGTAAGGCTGTCCCTGGTTCAAGTAAGTCAACGTCTCCTCGTTCTGTTTAGTCGCTATAGATGTAGCGGCCGCTAGGACGTACTGAAATCTAGAAATTGATATAATATGTTATTTAATGGGAAATTTTATTTTATATGTTAAACTAGCTTTCCGCCCGCAACTTCGTCCGCGTGGAGTTCGGTTATATCACGTTTCCAAGAGAACCCTTCAAAAGTCTGGGATAAAAACTATCCTATGTTCATTCTTAAGGTCAACTCTATCTCTGTACTAAATTTCATTAAAATCAGTTCAGTAGTTGGGGCGTGAAAACGTAACAGACAGACAGGCAGAGTTACTTTCGCAATTACAATATTAGTAGAGATTAGAGAATGAATAGGATTGTACTGGGATTTTGTTTTTATTAACTACGACTTTGTTTCCATTTGCCGAATAGTAATTATATACATACATTGCTGATTGAATACGTATACATATATAAAAATAATTTCAGGAATACAAATAAGTACATAAGGTCAAATTGTACTTGTAATGAGAAGAGTGTATACTTTATATGCTTTTAATACTACTGACATCTGATGTATATACATATGTATATATATATGTTATATGTATATATATATATGTTATATGTATATATATATATATGTATATACATGTACATATGTATGTATATGTATATACATATATACAAGTGTATTTATAGGCGCCTCATTTGGAAAACTATTTGAAAATAAGTTCCAATTTTAGTTACAATTATTATTTAAGGATTATTGTAATACTGGTATTTCTGGTACAGCCTTTTATCAGATCATTAAATAACTTAATAATGTCACACGCTATTATGATAGGATTTTGTTCGAGATACAATTTCACATTATTTTTCAATGTTCAGCGTTACTTCATGTAATGTCTTACAAAATGGTTGAAGCCTGTATTTATAGTTTATCAAATACAATGATACATAAACGTTGCCATTATATTATATTACAACGGTTCAGTATTATAATCATAAAAATGATGCTAATGATTATAGTATATTATAAATAATAACAGATGGCGCCACTAGTAACATTACTTAACGTACCTGTTGTCGTCTTTGAAGCACGAATCAGGTCTTGGAGAATGAAGAAATCCGTCTAGAGAGCTGGCCGGAGAACACATAAGGAGACCAGCAGCTGTTAATATAGAAAATACATATTATTTTAGGAGAATATGATAATTGACATGTTCAATATGACCATATTATTATCTTTTTGGTGTAAAAATAATATTTTTCTGATATACTACGCGATTAATTTTGATAAAAACTATGTACATCTCGTCTTTATGATCACGGTTGCTGTAAAGTAACCGAAAGATCGGGAGTATGTAGTTTATAATCAAAAATAAATCCGAAAATATTAGTGTCATTTAAATGACTCGCGAAAATCTTAATCTCATTATATTTTTGATATGTTCAAGAGTGCAATGGTTTAATATGTCTGTCTGTTGATTACCAGGTTCAATCATGGACTGAGGTATTTTTTTATGAGAAATATAGCAAAAGAGCAGACGGCCTACTTGATAATATGTAGTAATCGTCGCTATAGACATTCACAACATGTTTTATGTTGCGGATGCGTAATTAACCTTAGTTTTTGAGGAAGAAGGAAGGATGGGAATAAGGAGATTGCAAGAAGGGAAACGGCAACCGTCTCTCTCACTCATCGGACGAAACGCAGCCATAAAGACTACTTCACGCCGATCTTCTGTGAGAGGATGGTAATTGTCGAAGCATGAGTTATGTTTCTATATATAAAAAACTTACTTTTATTTTCCTGTCCATTAGGAGAATGGTAGCCATTTATTGGCATTATGACCGGCATGGATTGGCACTGCATGCTTTCCGGGCTGTTCGCTGAAAATATTAATTATTATTATTAATTTGATTTCAAAATGGAAGAAGTATAATTCTATTTTACACATATATTTTTATATATATAATTCTTCTGTGAGTGTGTATGTCACTGAACTTCTCTCAAACGACTGGACCGATTTTGATGAAATTTTTAGTGTGTGTTCAAGGTGATCTGGAAATGGTTTAGATTCTCAATTTTGTACGCTGAACAATGTTTCTTTAATTAATTTTTAATTTATTAGTAGTTGTTGATAAAAACTTTTTTTTTAACATTAGATTTGACAACTAACTAATATGTCAATCATTCTGTCGCACTTCAAAACACGGAGATTTATGGCTTTAATAGGTAAACTCCAAAAATGTAAAAAAAGGTAACAGATATTTCTTGATTATAGGGCGATACGAAGTTTGCCGGGTCTTCTAGTTATAATATAAAAAAAAGTCTTAGGACCAAATTTCCATAAATTTGAATACCATTATATGGATTTAATAAATTGTATGTATATCTAGGGTTGTCAATATAATTAATATTCTAACATATCTTACACTGCGTGTTCATGACTCCAGCGTGTTGCTGACAGCCCTCATCCATGGCGTCCCGGTTGTCCACAACCATATTGGTTATCTGTAATATTATACATAGTTTTATAAGAAAAATACAACATCAAAAACGAGGGTAGATGATAAAATGATTGGAAAATAATAATCTTTGGAGCTCTTGTAATAGGTATAGAATTAAATCTACAATCCTGTTTTGTCATTTATCTCTTGTGTTGATAGTAATTGGATTTTGGAAACTTGGAGTTAATATTCCAGGTGTAAAGTTGCTTTAGTGATGAAGAATCTAATATTTATAATAGGATTGAATTAAGTATTATATACTATCATATATCTGTCTTAAACTTGTCAATGATATCCAAGCTCTACTGCTATTATAAGACAAGTGAAATACCTTATTCTAAATGAAAAATTACCTCATTTCTATTACAAAAAGGTACAATTTTCAGTTAACGTAAAAAGAAGCTTGGAAATCGTATTAAGTATTGATTTTATATCAAGCATTACACACAAGCACACATACTTTCAAATACCATTATATAAAAATAGAATTAATACATATTTTACCTCCATACAAAATTGTGACAACTAGAAGAAAATAAACAAATGTCATACGTCAAATAATAAAAGATAATATGGTATTAGTTAGCGAAATTAAATATAACAGATGGCGTTGATTATGAACGGAAATAAGTTTTGCTAGTCAATTTTCGTTTAGAAATATAACTTTAAAGTTTAAAATATTTTTCCATTGTTAATTGTCTCGATGATTTGTAAAAAATATTCAGTTCTTTTTAGATTTCAGGCAATTCAGCAATTATATACATACGTATTTGTAATACAGTAGGACCCCGATTATCCGGACCTCGGTTATCCGAATTCGCGATTATCCGGACTGCCAATCGCGACGAGTTTATTCTAACATTAACATGCCAGAACTTGCATAACGCCACGCCACTTATAACTAGGGCCCGGATAAATATGTATTAAAAAATCTAAAATATGTACATAAAATATGGACGAAAAAATAAAAAAATATGGAAAAAATATGGAGTATAAAATTAAATAATTTCATAATTAAACATTGTTTTACTATAAGAAAGGGTCACTCGTGACGTACTTCGTTAAGAAACATTTAAAAAACGATGAAAAAAAGGAGTGAAATATTTATTTCAACAAAAAATAACAGTTTTATTCAACTTCCATTACACTAGCTTTATCAAATTGGTTGCAAAACACAATGACGTGCTTCTTTAAATTATCCAAATGAAAACTGACCATTTGGTTGACATATAGCCTTATATTTGCTGAATGATCTCTCCACTCACATGACGTGATGGATGCATACTTAAGCAAACTTAATTCAGTAATTGTGTAAGCCATGTCTACAGCCCTCGAAACTTTCGCACAGAGTTTTGTTAATTTTTTAGCGTTTTAAATCCTTTATTTTTATCCAAAACATTAGTGGCGGGAACGTAAATTTTATGTTTTTTGTGAATATATGGATGATTGTGACATTTTCTTGTAAAATATGGACTTAACTTTGAAATATGGTAAAATATGGAAAATAAAAGTTGGTTTTTCACAGTCTAAATATGACAATCCATGTAAAAAACACATTCTAGACCGAAAATCGCGTAAATTAAAAATATGTATTTACATATTAATCCGGGCCCTACTTATAACACTTATACGTACATTATGTACAATTTCTTAATAAACGTTGATTTTCGCTCATATGTATTTTTTGTTTTAAATAAACACCTAACATTACATATGTATGGTACAGATTACATACGTACATATGCAAAAAGCCCGTTTTTCTTCATATATTGGATTATCCGGACTTTCAATTATCCGGATGCCTACCGACAACAATTAGTCCGGATAATCGAGGTCCTACTGTATATGTAGTTTATTTACACTCTATATAATCAATTAACGGATTCCAATAATTATTATTTTATACGACGATATGTCAAATAAAATATGAAAAAAAAATCTAATCAAAAAAAGCCCTATATAAAGTAGTTATGAAATGCGTTAGTTGAATCTCAATTTATTTCTTATTATATAATACTAGCTTTCCGCCCGCAGCTTCGCTCGCGTGGAGTTCGTTTATATCGCGTTTCCAGGGAACCTTTCAAAAGTCTGGGATGAAAACTATCCTATGTTCTTTCCCAAGGTCAACTCTATGTGTGTACCAAATTTCATTAAAATCAGTTCAGTGGATTAGGCGTGAAAGCGTGACAGACAGACAGAGTTACTTTCGCAATTATAATATTAGTGGGGATTTATTGATTATTATTCTAATGATATATAACTAGACATTATTTGTGTGTAAGTGGGCGTGTGTGTGTGGATATTTCCTTGTGTGTGTGTGTGTGTGTGTTTTCATTATATACCTGTCTGTCATCAGTGCGTCTGACTGGCCAGGTCCTGCGCGGCGGAGAGAGCGCGTTCCCAGTGGGAGAAGGCGCTTCTTGCTTGAACACGGCCAACGACGGCAATGACAGTAGGGCCTCACTAGTAACATAAAAAATATTAATATAAATACATTTAAATGAATCCAATATTCTTCGGATTATACTACGCGACTTTATTTTTATAAAAAACTTCATACTCCTCACGTTCCGGCTACTTTTGAGCAACCGTGATCACGGACAGACGAGATGTGAACATTCACAGTTTTTTATCAGAAAAATATTAGTTTCAATTAAATTAATAAAACTCGGCAAAAAATTAGATCTCATCAAATAAATGCATTCATTTTCATTTATTACGTTTCGATTACCTTTCAGTGAAATTAATGATCACGGCTAGTAAACAATAAAACAGATTTATTTAAATGTACACGCGAATGTATTAGATAACATTATCATAATGTTATCATTAATTAATTATTTATCTAATTAATTCATAATTGATTTTTTCTACATTTTCCTCCTAGATCTCTGTGCCTTTAACTAATTTTAGCATTTTGCTTTAAACACGGACAGTTTCCAAGCTACATTATTCGTTTCAAAGTATCGTGTATTTTGATCTATATACACAAAATCCTAAAGAAACAATTAATTTTCTTTTTTATTCTGATTAGTTGAGCCATAAATATAAATTTTCATTAAAGTTAATGTAGGACTTTCTTTGCTAGAAGGACAAAGTAGGATTCATATGTAGATTTTAAAGTATAATTATTAATTAATGTTTTAAATTTTACTACATTTTTTATTATTTTCTATTATCCATAAGCACCCAAATAGTATTTATTTATGTCACCAATAAACTACATCCGAATCGGCTCAAAGATTCTTCATTAATAAAAAAAATATGTATATATATAAATTATAACTATTTATTTAACGCAAATATTATAACTAAACTATTTAGAATTATGTTTGATAAGACAGATACACACACATGCATAAATGATAAAAAATAATAATCAATTACCCTCTCTCACACACACATACATACACACACAAAAATGATTTCTTATTAATTAATTTATATATTTGAAAACATACAGCTTATATTACAATAAATTATTTCGGTAGGTTAAAAACAATTTGCCAGAACAGTTTTCAAATATATTAGGCCATTTAGTGTATTATACATTATAAGAAAAAATGATACTTACTTCATAGAAAGTTCCCCGGGTAAATCAAGATCCAGGTCATTGACCTGCCACCCCGGGGACAAGTGTGACGAGGAAGAACTGGTGCCGCTACCTCCCACATCGAGGTTGGCTAAAGCATATAAAAATGATCAGAAAAGTCTTCAAGCGGTCAGAAATTAGGCTAAATAATTAATCAGTACTAATTATAAATATAAATAATTGAGAGACAAAAAAGCAGGCTCTATTATTGCTGATGGAAAATTTAGTAGCAGTTTTCCATATATCTCTGTAGATGAAGCTCAATAATTGCCATTATTTTATAAATTTCAAAAACAATTTTCGGCAAAAAACTATATCGGACTTATAAATATTTGCATAAATTTTAACAGCCAACAAAAAATAACACTCATGTCGTATCAAACTGTGAATTCATATTTTAACTTTGATATTTTTATATGAATTTTATTAATTTGCATATCAGTAACCCTTAATTGCTACCAAATTTTGCTATCATTACCTATATATCATGAATGAGCATTAATTGCTTGGTTAGACATAATTTATTGCTATACTTCTTTCTTGTGAAACACCTAATAGGATTTGGTTTTGAATAGCCAGTTTGTAATATTTGCATCATAATTTTCTGTAGCAAAAAGTCAATTTGTTTATACCTTAAAAGAATTCATTGGCAATTTTCTTTGCTACTGAATGGTAGCAAAACATATTACCAAATCTCTGTTTCAATTTTTTATTAAAACATCGCAACTCATCCGCCATATTGTTTACATAAATTCCAATAACCCCGTTGAACCCTAGCCTGACGGCTGACAAGAACTGGTAACTCATTGGCTGGTACGCTAATTACAACCAGACAGTATCTCACAATTGACCTCTGATAAGTAACATGATAAATATGGCCTACTAAGTAAAATTGGGAGCAGTTTAAGGCATAGGTAATGAAAATACTTATATAATATCTGTGAAGAAATATACAGTTTTTAATGAGGTTATTGTCTCATTAATTGAACTGAATACAATAAATAGATAGGTTAAAACATAGAGTGTTTCACAAATACTGCATGTTATCAAATAAACTCTGACCTAGTGGATATCTATAGTGTAACTAGTTATAACCGATACATCGCCTAGCTTAATATAGAATAATAAACATGATACAGAAACATGTCCAAGATAATATACTCTCTTCAATTCTGTTCGTCAAATTATATTAATTAATATAAATAAAAGATGATTCGTTACCATATGCATTGTAGGTCAAACTAGCGAAAGCTTGGGCGCCAAATTCAGCAAATCTTCTTCCTTCTCTTGCCTCTCTTGCCGCGAATTGTAGCACAGCGGCCGCCGACATTCGATCAGAATTTAAAGTATCTTCAACCATATTGATTTAGTTCTATTCTAATGATAATAGATGGCGTTGTCTTAAATTTGCCCTCGATTTTTTTTAGTTCCAATTCGCTTTAATAGATGTCGTTTTTCCACCGTTTAATCTCAAGGTACTGATCCAATTATATTGATTTCCAATCCGTAGCATACGTTTCCAATAAACAGAGGAATCTTAGCTAATTTCCAATCACTGTCAGAACACGCAGCAACATTTTAACGTCCAAATGTATTTGTCCGTCAGTTTTCTCTTGTTTTTTAATATTTTTGATACGTCAAACGATAATGTCATTTTAGTACATTTACCGATGTTATAAATCACTGAAATTATATTATGTATTGCATTATGTCTTGATATTAATAGTAGAGTAAGTAAAATATTAATTGTTATTATAATATTGCACTATTCTTGAGTCGTAAAACTCAGAGATGAAATAAAATTCTTAGGAGACATTTATATACATACATATAAATATTATTTTTGTGTAACTATAAAGGCAAAACTTTGAATGTATGTCTTTATTACTCAATTACGAATCTACGGAAGCATTTCAGACTATAATGTGTGTTTTAAGTGGCTATAAAGTTGCAATAGAGTTTGGGCTACATTTATTTCAAATATCTATAGCATTATGCCGATTTTTATCTTAAAACGTACTAAATGAATATGCAAAATCGGTAACAAACAAGCCCTGCCACATCACTATCTGTTAACGTGACTAATAAAATTTATTTTCTTGTTAACTTAATACAGTGGTTGTAATCTTATCGTACAGAGCAAATGTGATTATATGGTTCTTAAACAAATTTTAAAAGTATGTATAAATTAATGTCTGTCACTAATTCATAATGAGGATGTTGATTGAAGATGAGGGTAGTTTTGAGTATACAACCGAAACTAATTAAATTTAATACATCTTAACAATAACATCTGTATCGAAGCTTGTTGTCTTATATTTATATTATTTCTAATTATGTAATTTTACGGATGGAATCTATTATGTATTTAGTATTTACTTAGTAAATAATATAAAACCCAATACAATATAAGAAAGCAAATCCATACAAGATGAGAAAAAAAAACGTCGGTCATAATCTGTTACGTTCCACACACAAATGAAATTCTCACACAAATGGCTTTTAAGAATTTGAGTATTCGCGTAAAACACCAATAAGCTATACACCATTTAGTATATTTGAAGTCAATTCAATATATATTTACATTTAAATACAGTTAATAAATATGAATAAGATAAAAGTCAGTAAACATTGCTTTATTATATCATAATTACCAATTAATTTAAAATCGATTTTCATATAAGATATTTCATCCACGAATCGGTATGGGGAAAAACCGTAAATTGAGTGATATGATTAGATATTGTTAATAGAACTTACAAAGTTAACATCAATAAAGACTACACTCTAAATGAAACAAATATTTTTGGATTTAATACGCCTTTTTTATACTTTACTATAAACTACATACTCCCGACGTTTCGGCTACTTTACAGCAACCGTGATCATTAAAACGAGATGTGAGACTACATACTATATAAAATTGAAATTGTATTCCAATATATATATATATATATATATATATATATATATATATATATATATATCTATATGTACAGGGTGACTGGTGAATTACTATCGATATTTGAGGACGTGATATTTGACGATCATATATGACAAAATAAAAATTAATATAACATAAATATTAATAAACTTCTAAGTAAAGTTAACCAAAAGTTATGTAATTAATTACGCATCGTGTGAACACCCTACAGATTAGATATACACTCACACTCACACATACGCGTGTCGCGACGTGGTGTTGTATCAGCACGCCGCCGCACGCGTCCACACTTGAACACTTGGAACGTGTCAACACTTTATTTATTTATACGGAAATTTTGTCAAAAATTAAGTGCCTATTTTTTTTACATAATTCGAATGAGAATCATGTACCGAGTGTTCTCCTTAAATATTGATAGTAATTCACCAGTCCCCCTGTATATTGATGTCTTTGAGGTTTCAACATAAATATTTTATTACTGTTTACATTGTAATAAAATATTAATTAGATTTTCTATCCGTCTGTTTGTTACGAGTAATCTTTGTTACCAGAATTCAATTATACTGTCATTGATGATATCGAAATAATAAAAGGGAAGACAAAACTGAAGTATAAAGATGTATATAAAAATATCATTAATACAACATTGATTTTTTATTAAATAAAAACGCAATATACTGTGAAATTATTCTTTTGTTTTAAAAAATAACTTCGTTCAAATTAAGAAGAGAGACGTCAAAGAGTTGAAATTAAAAAGTACCTAGATTTCGTAGAAATATTTATTACAAATAAGTTCGATGAATTGTGCTTTAGAAATGTATACTAGTTTATTGTATTTGGTCCCATAAAGTATCTCATCAATAAATGATTGATTAAGACTAAAAATATTAACGCGTTATCAAGTAAGATACGAAAATTATAAACATTAAATTTTGTATGGATAAATGTATGTGTACAATCGGTTAACATAACTCAAAAACGATTTGCTATATGATAACGAAATTATTACTATACTGTACTTTGTAAAGCCAAGAAATACATACTATGTAACTTATTTTCACAGGACTTAACTCGTGATTTTCACAGTAAAACCTACACATTATTTGTAGTTACGGTACAAAGATAATTAATAGATGACACTGCCGGTTATTATGACTAATCTTTTTCACCACCCAATTTTCTATTCATTAAATACAAAAACGGCAGAAACTATTTTAATGATATGGAGATAGAAATGGGTATTATTTTTATAAATATATGCTTTAGCAATAAAAAAATGTAACTGAAAGAGAATGATTAAGTTAAAAATACGAGAAATACTAATGAAATGATCATCAGAAATAACTATACCAAATAATTTTGATTTAAAAAACTTTAAATCGTACTCAGTCCAAAAAAATGCGTTTTAACACGATAAAAATATTCAATAAATCGATTGATATCAAGAATAGTGCAATAAATTATAATAATTATGTACAAAGCTTACACAGTACATGTTGGTTTCCAGCAAGACGGTGACAAAGTAAATTTTAAACGTGCTCAGAAGTTAACTGATGTTTGCATTAATTTATCTTTATTAATATAATATGTAAATAAATATGGCTGTATTGTTTTTTGATCTGGATGCCACTGGAATGGTGTTTGCTTTTTTTGTGGTTCAGAGTACAGATTTTGTCTGCGATTGTCAAATATATTATTATAATAAAGAAAATATCTATACATTAAATATATGAGATCTAATATTTTCGCGAGTATTCATTTAAATGGAACTAACATTATTTGGATTCTTCTTCTTCTACCTGACAATTTCCCAGCTCTAGCCAGGGTCTGTCTTACATATTTGTTAATAGTTTTGGCTAATTGTTTTTACGACCGGCCGCCTGACATCAACCCTCTTTGGGAATGCATTAATCAGTGATGTCTAAATACTCTTATAAAGTACATATGACTCGGAAAAATCACATTGGCACTTGCCCGGGCCAGTATCTGGCCACCACTGACTTATTATTCGGATTATTACGCGTATTTAATTTTACCTACATTCACTAGACGTTTCAGTTACTTTTCAGCAACCGTGATCACGGACAGATAAATGTATGTTGTGTGAATTAACTTCTCGTAGTATGCAGTTTTAAAATAATAAATACGCGTAGTAATCCGAATAATATTAGTTTCATTTAAATTAATATATTTTTCATTAATATTTGATTAGATTTCGGAAAAATATCAAATATTTTGTTAAATATAATATTTTTGTTGACATCAATTCCTTAGTGAATCTATAGTCTACACGCTTTTGTTTTTAATCACATACTACCAGGATGTTTACCATAAAATAGCGTAGAACATAATTTTCTTTGTTTTTCATATATATAATAGTTATATATTAAATCATTACAATAATATATTTTATTGAATGAGAAATGATAACGCGTCGTATGATTGTGAGGTGAAAATTTATGCTGTTTTTCCAGTATTTATACTTTTCTATTAATTCATCAATTAACATATTATGTATACTAATAAAAGGCGAGATTTTGTATCTCTTTTTTAGTCACACAAAAACCTACAAATCTATTGGAATTTAATCTATTTGAATTATATTAAATTTAAAAATAACTACATAAAGATTCTTATTTAATATTACTTTAGTAAAATTTTAAGAGATTGTAAAAGTGTAACGTAACACTAAAAAAATATTAGATTGAGTTTTATATTTCATGAAAAATGTTATTTTATAGTAAATACCTATTTTTATATAAATTTACGAGTTTGATGTTTTGTTTAAAGATACAATCTAGAAGGTCATAGAAATCAGACATATCAGCTTCGTGATTGCTGCAAATTAATCGAAACGTCGGGAGTATATAGTTTAAAATAAATACGCGTAATATGTATAATACAAAAAATATTAGTTACATTTATATGAATATTTGCGAAAGTCATAGATCTCATTATGTCATAGAAAGTTTATATCCAAATTCATTATTAGCCTATCAGAGTGCACTGCTGAGCAAAAGCGTTTTCTCACATGGAGAAGATTTGAGCATTAATCACCACGCTTGCTCAAGACTCAAGAGTCAAGACGGGTTGGCGATTTCAAACTTATTTTGAAACTAGAAGTTCAAGTTTCCTCACGAATTTTAAGGTGGTAGAGCCTTTTTTTTTTCGGGGAGAAATCCGCTTACAGACTACCCACTGCCCTGGCTCGACAATGGGACTTGTGTGGGGGTCGCCCAGAGCCTGATGTTGTTGGCCCTGGGAATACCCACTAAAACTCCCCGGCTTCCCTTCCTGCCCGTATTTGGGGGCGATTTGGGACCTGCTATGGCAATTCACCAATTCGCCCCGGGCTGCCCAGCTCTGTGCCGGGCTACCGCGCCGGTGGGGGATTACCCGGGAGAGCCGAGATAATC